CGCACGCGGGATCGGCGTGAAAAAAAAGGGGGCGCGCGGGGGGGCGGGGGGCGATAGGGGGCGCAGAGTCCAACGAGAAGACGAAGAAGGAAATGGCCGCGCGGAGACTGTTTCAGTGGAAATGGTTGATAGTGGACGGGGTGAGCGTGTTCAGCGCGAACTTCTCAGCAGAGCTTGACTCGCATTTGCGGTCTTGCATGTCGGCAGCAAGATGTTCGAGAGTTGATGGAGACGGATTGGGCGGACCTTTCAGGGGTTTGAATGTGTTATTTTGCTGGGGGTTCTATAAATTGGAGCCGCCGTCGGGGACGGCCATCGATGCGCTGCCCTCGTTGTATCTGAAGAACGCGAGGAAACGCGCGCCGGGTGCTGCGGACGACCGCGGGCAGTCTATCTTCTGGGGGCCAGGAAGCGATGGGGCAGCGCAGGGGATGACGAAGTTGACGGGGTGCAAGAGCGCGGATGATTTCTTGGAGTGCAGGGCGAGTTTCGCCAAGGTAGCTGCCAGAGCGCGCGCGCAATTTTTTGCATGGCAGACCGACGGATGTTCCGGGGTCGCGGATAAACGGCGCGCCGTTGCGCGGGAATGCGCGTTGTCTACGAGACGCAGAGGGCGCAGTGAAACAGACCGGGCTAGAGTGCGAGGAGTGCAGAGTTGAGCGAGAGAGGAGAGCTCGTCGCGACGTCGCCGGAAGGCGCGCGGTTTCGCGATTAGAAATTTGTCTGCGCCGTCTCCACTTATGCGAACCAGGACATTCGCTGCCGCGTCAGGGAGCAGAGAGCTGCGCGGCGGACAAGGGGGCGAGGGGGACAGCTGCTGCGGCTCGCAGCCAGAGATCGCCCGAACCACGGCGGGGAACCGAGGCGCCCGCGCACGGTGGTGGACAACGTGCGGTGGCTCGGGCACCACGACAAGCAGCGCGCAAGCTTGCCGGTGTGGTTGCTCTGGCGAAGGGGATGCCGGTAGCTTTGGCAGGTCACTTGGATCGGTCGAGGAAGCAGCTGTTGCGGGGTCGCACAGCGACCGTCCGTGGATGGGCGTTGCACGAGGACGAGGTCCTGGGAGATGAAGACGAAGAAGTCTGGGTACATCTACCGAGAGCGATTGCGTTGGACTTTCATGCGAAGGAGTGGCACCTGTCAGGCTGGGAGCCGGGTCTGCATCCGATCCTTCCATCGAAAGGGCGACAATGGTTCTTGGACGGGCATCGGTGGTATCCAGTATTGAGTGTGAAACGCACCCAGTGTATGATGACCCCGTCTTTGGCAGCGGCGGCGCGTCTGGCGCGGGGCCGGGCCGCGGGGGCAGCGATGGCGGACTTTGAAAGGGCGCGGCGTGAGTTGGATGTCAGGTTACGTTGTTATTGCGTGCGTGCGCAGGCGAGAGAACCTTTTGATTTTCTGGCCCCTTGATAGGAAGCCGCGCGACAAAAGTTAGATGGCTGGCGCGAAAAAGCCGTCGCGGGTCCTAAGAGGGGAGGGCGTGGTTTGGGATGAGTGGGAGGCGGCAATGATACCCCGAGACCAGTGCGAGCGCTGCCGGCGGAGGTTGCTGGCAGAGGCGTTCACGGAGTACGAGTTCCAGGAGAAGGAGATGCCGGCGCTTTGAAATGAAAACGCGGGAGAGACGAAAACACACGCGGACGAGAAATGGTGCGCAACGTGCAGAGGGTGGGCAACCAAATCGGAGGGCGAGGGCGCGACGCGGCACGTCGGCGGTCGGAGCGGGGACGCAGCGGCCGACGATGGGGGGGGCAAGAAGGGTTCGGACAATGTGCCGCGCGAAGTGCAGCCATGTCAAAGCCATGCAGAAGTCGCGGAACGGCAGCGCGGAGTGGAACGAGAGCGTCGGCACAGCGCGGCGTTCGAATGACGAGCGCCTGTCGCTGCGCGACGAACAGGCGGACATGTCGGAAGCTCAGAGGAAGCGCAACGCAGCGGGGGAGAGGTTGCGCCGGAAGTGCGCGGAGAAGCGGGAAAAGGCAGTGCTGAGGGCAAGTTGCGAAGCAGGGAATCGCAAACGGAAGCAGGAGGCGGAAGTTGAGCCGCCGACGTGCGGCGCGCCCGGTTGCGGGGTGTCCTTCTGGGAGGGAGGTCATTGGAACCGCGACGAAATGGAGGACCACCGGGCGAAGACAGGAGCAAGAGCGGCGTGCGAAAGGTGCCATAAGCGGGGCATCGCCGCGAAGGGTGTGGCCGATGAGTCGAAGCGGTTGAAGCGACTGCTGATATGCGCAGCGCGCAAGAAACAGATCGCTCGGCAGGGGCACACGCGCGCCAAACAGGAGAGCGAGCACTTCACGAGAAAGGGTAAAGTTGCATGCGCAGATTGCATTGCCGACGGGTTCACGTCGCGCAGTTGGCAGGCCTTTCAGCGCAGTGGCAAGTGCCAGAGGAACTTGCCGGAGTCGGCTTTCTCCGTGGACGTGAGCCATGTCGCGCGTGACGAGCAGACGGGCACCTTGAAATGCAAGGCGTGCGCATGATACCAGCAGGGCGCTCATGCGATGGCCCGTAGAAGTAGGAGCAGCGGGGGTGCGAGCGAGAGGGGGGACGAAACCGATGAAAAGAGGAACGCGAAGAAGGTGGAAGCGGAGAAGGAGGAGGAGGAGGAGGAGGAAAAATATTGGGAATATGGGGGAGAGGCGGAGGGGGAGTCAATGAAGAGGAGGAGGAGGAGGAGGAGGAGGAGGAGGAGGAGGAGGAGGAGAAGGAGGAGGAGGAGGAGGAGGAGGAGGAGGAGGAGTCACGATCTGGTCCTGACGCGTCACGGACGCGTCACGGGGGCGTCTAGGAGGTAGTGCATGGGCTTTTTGGGGGTTGTTTGGGGACCTGTTGGGAGCCTTTTGGGCCTCGTTTGGGGCTCCCTGGAGCCCTCCTGGGAGGTTCTTGCAGCAGGATGAGGGAATCTCGGGGCCAAAGGACCAAACAATTGCCCGGGCGACCTCTTGGAGCCGTCTGGAGGCCCTCTTGGGCCGTTTTGGGCGTGTCTTGGGTTGTCTTTGGGTCTTGTTGGACCTCTGTCGGCAGTTGCCGAGGACGTCCTTGGAGGACGTCCTCGGCAACTGCCAATCTGGACGTCCATGGCCCGTGTCGGACGTTCCGAAACCGCAACGTGCCAATCTGGTAAACATGAACGCTTTACGCAGGGAATGAGACAATTTCTGTATCTTGGGGCTCGCTTGGGACACCACTTGGGGGCCTCTGGGGTCGTTTTGGGGGGCGTCGGAGGCTGTCTGGAAGCCATCGTGGGCGTCTTGGAAGGATATTTCGGCGCCTCGTCGCCCTCTTGGACGGCGGGAGGCGCCGTGGTGCCCTCTTTGCTCGTCCTGGGGCCCTCTGTTCCCCCATGGCACGTTCGGCGGTAAGTCATCGGGGGCGGGTCATCCGGGGCGGGGGGGTGTCAAATTGCCGGTTTTGGGTCCCACGGGGGGTTTACGGGGGGGGATCATCTCACACGCTTAGAGACCACAAGGGGTCGGCTGATTGTTTCTTGGGTGAGTCGCCCAAGCGCGCGGGGCCAAGAGGCTTCGAGAGAGCTACGTGGGCGTTCGATTTAATGAACAGCATGGGCGATATCCAGGTCGCTGGGTATGAACCTGTTTGGCTGGGGGTCTTCAAGCGCCTCGGGGTCAGTTTTTGGGGACACTTTTGGGTATCCGTTCCAGCTCGAGGATTTTGGGATGTTCAAGACCCAAGCCCGTGCGACGCCCAGCGACGTGGATGCTTGTCGATCGACCCAGCGGAGAAAGGGCCTACAATCCTGCAAATGAGCATGCGAAAGCTGGCGTGGACAAGCGCGGCGCTTCGTCAGATCGTGCTGATTTACTTCAAAGGTTTGGGAAACTTCGCGATGGACGCAGGCACATGGGCTGCCTCGCTCGAGGTTCGTCTTGCTCCTATCGAGCAGAGGGGCGCAGCTGGCCAGGCTGTCCCAGACCCTTCTGCAGGAGGTCCCGCCATGCGTGAGGGTAGTGCGCCAGCGCCAAAGGAGAAGGCCTTGCGCCATAGCGCAAGGCCGCCCGATGCAATGAAGGACGGGGTGGGCGGGTGGGACTGTGGGGGGGGCTGAGAAGCCCGCGCTCGATATGTGCATTGACTGAATGAGCACGCGCCCCTCGCTGCCCCGGTAGCGATCTCCAGCGATGGTGCGGCCAGCAATTCCTTCAACGAGCATCGGTAGAGACCTCAAGGCCAAGGGTGGCACGGGGGGCATGTCTGGCCGGCTGAGGCAAATTCAGCTGGTGAGGTCCCTTTTGTATGTCAGCCACGCGCAGAGGGGGGTGGGGGGAGGGGGGAGGGCTTCTTAGAAACACCCCTGCTTCTGAGAAGGCGTGGGCTTTGTCCATCGATGTATGGCCGGCACCTTCTAAGAAGCGGTCTCCTTCTAAGAAGCCCTCCCTCCTCCCTCCACCCCCTTTTGTGCGCACCGCCAAGTATAAGAAGGGGAAGAAGGAGCGAACCCTCGGGCCTCCGAGGGGCCTGGACCTTGCCGAGCGTAGGGGTTTGGTCGAGGCGTTGGACTGCGGGCCCACGGTCCCTGGGGCCGACAAAGGTGGCTCCCCAGTTTGGGGGCACGCGAGGGGTGGGTTTGCCCCTCGGGAGCAAGTTTGACCCAGCTCGATCTGGTCGAAGAGGATCCTCCCTGGGTGAAGGCTCGTGGGGGAGGCCCCGACGGGGAACCCCACCCTCCTTGGAGAAAAGTCAGAATCGGCCGCGTCTGACCTCGTCTGATCATGGACTGCCCAGCTTTAGCCCCGTCACAAAAAAAACACTCCTCCTTCTCCTCCTCTTTTTTCTCCTCCTCCTCCTCCTCCTCCTCCTCATTTTCTCCGTTCCCTTTGGCCAGGGGTCACAGGGCGAGCGGATTTCCTCCCAGGGCCGTTCAAACCAGTGATTCGGACATTTACTGTTGGGATTCTGCGGCGATTCAGAATCTGTCGTAAATTAACATCCCTTTTGCGTGTGTGCCCGTTGCGAGGGGTTATTATTGCCATCAGGCGCCGTCGGAGTTAGAGCTCAAGCGCCTGCGGAAGGCGCTGATGGGGACCTTGGAGAGGTCAACTGGCGCCGACGCGCACAAGGCGAGCGCGGTTTTCGGCGCAGGGAATTGGGGAGGGGACGCAGAAAGGGAGGCGGGGGAGGGGGTCCAGGAAACGCAGCCGAAGGGGCAGGGAAGGAGATTCGTGCAGGAGGAGGAACAGGGGGAATCTTGGGCAGGAGGGTCTGTGTACGGTCGGGAGCCTCGGGTCATTGTGTTGCGCCGCTGGTTCTGGCCCACCGCGCTTCGGCGCGACACGCTATCCACTTGACGGCCCCCGAGCGCCAACCCCCGAGCCTTGCCGAGCATCCCGCCCCGCGGAGCGGAGCGACACGCCATCCGCTTGCAAGGCTCAGCGCGTGCAGCGTGTCGCCGGGGCCGCTACCGCGGCAGGCTGACCAAAGAAGATCCCGGCGCAGGCAGGATTTGGGGGAGGAGGAGGGGCCCAGGGCCCAGGCAGCCGACGTCGCATGTTGCTCGCAGCCTTGCTCCCCAGAGGCCTGGACCTCTTCCGCGGGACAGGTTTTTCCTCCTGAGTCGTTTTTCTTGATGGCTCTGTGACCCGCCAGGAGGGGGGGGGGTGCGTGGCGAGGCCCGACAGGATGTTTGGATTTCACACAAATAATCGGATCTCATTTGCACGCCTTTTCTGTCCAGCATTGTTTGAACAGGCGGCGGAGGGTTGGTGGGGGCGCGGAAGCGCTACGCAAGTAAACTTGCCAGGCTCTAGATAATAGTAAGAAAAAAACGCTCCCAGAGGAGGAAGATGAGGAGGATGAGGAGGAGGAGGAGGAGGAGGAGGAAGGGGAGGAGGAGGACCATCAGATCCGTCCGACCCACAAACATCGCGATGGCAGAATATTTAAAACATGTTCGGCATCTGGAGGCCGTTTCCTGGCCCCCGAACCGTTGAAAAACGATTCAGGGTCAAAAGTCGATCCCAGGGAACGGGTGGAAATCCCCTGGGGCCGAAGTCACATATTAAAAGATACGTCGGCTGAGAGGGGGAGTCGCTGCTGAAGGCAGGGATACCTTCACGCCTTCAGGCAGCTTCTCGATTTGCGTAGCTCGTCCAACAGCCCGTCCCTGAACACTTTGGATCGTCTTTGGCACACGATATTATTTGCATTCGCGGTCTGGTGTTCGTTCCTAGTTTGTTCGTACTTGGTTTGTTCGTATATCGGTTGGTCTGTTCGTTCCTATCGTGTTTTTTTTTCACACCCGCCTCCATGCGCGATTCGTTTTTTCCTTTGCATCCGTTTCCACCACCACCCCTGCCCGCTTGCGAACTGATTAGGGCACCAGCTCGATTTCGAGCGTCCACATTTGATGATCGTACGTATCCAGTTGCCTGGGGCATTCACGCCGTCGTGCCAGGAAATGCATGGAGGCCGGTTCTGTCGCTCGCTTCTGGCAGGTTCAGTAGAACAATCTTCAGGCCGTCCGGGAAGCATCGTTGCGATGCCGCAGCGGGGCGCAGTCGTAGAGTTGTTTGGATGTTGCTCTGTGCGGTGCGGGCTTCCTGGGAGGGGAGCTTTCTGGGAAGCTCGGGGCCGCCTGCGGCGCGATGGCCACGCCGAGCTCTGACCTCCGCGTGTGCACTTCCGCTACCACTGCGAAGGCATTACGGCCGGTGCCACCGGCCCCGTTCGCTAGGACGGGGAGGAAGAGGAAGGAGGATCGGCCCGCCGAGTGGGCGCGGTCGTGGCAGCAGCAGCAGCAAGACACGCACGCCGCGGCATTTGAGGAGAGTAAAGGGTTGGAGGATGAGGAAGACGAGGAGAAGGAAAGGGAATCAGAGTATCGAGTATCGAGCCATCCGGCGTAGTCGTTGATGAATCGCATGCGATTGCGCTCTCGTACTCGTACTCCTCTGCCTCCTCATCTTGCTCCACCACGCTCTTCGTCTCTCTTCTCCAACGCCTAAATTATGCGTCCTCGTTCGCCTCCGCTTCCGCCTCATCCTCCTCTCCCTTTCCGTTATTCTCTACTTCATCTTGCCCCGATGTTCACCTCGTCGTGTTTGGGACCATTTTGGCGACATTCTGTATTCCAATGTCGGCGCTGGGGGTGGGTGTTGGCCCGACCAGCAGATGCGGAGACATAGTGTGGCTTCCAGGCGCTTGTGGTTCTTCAACAGTGGCCGGGCATTCAGCCCAACCAGGGCAGCACCGAGGTCACGCCTGACCAGGAGGACTGTATGAGATAGATGCAGGAAGCGACAAATACGGCAGTTGCGGCAGCGTCTGGGGCATCCTGCTGCGGTCAACCTTCGTACTGGCTCAGGGGCCTTCTGTTTTGATTCGCTGTTTCGCGCGGCGACCCGGATGGTGGACGGAAGGGAGGGAGAAGGAAGAGGAAGATGAGGACAGGGTGGAGTTATCTAATGGCCTTCGGGCCATCCCGCCGCTGTGCCTGGGTTGTGTGTCAGAGTCCTCAGAGATACTTCTTGGGGTCTCTTGGCAGCGCTCTTGGGGGCCGCTTAGGGGCAGTTTTGGGGCTTCTCGGGAGCCTCTGGGGGGCCTCTTGGGAACCTCTTGGGGACCTCTTAGAGCTTCCTGGGGGCCTCTGCGGGGCCTCTTGGGTGACTCTTGGCGGCCTCTTGGGGGCCTCCTGGCGCCTCCTTGGGGCCTCCCGGGAAGCTCGAAATGTCCAGTCGGGTCCCCCGTCGGGGCCCTCTCTTGGAGTCGTCTTGAGGGCCTCTGGGGCCGTCTTGGGTCACTCTTGGACCGTTCTTGGGCCATCTTGCCGTTTAGGGGCCCCGAGGCCTTTTGGGCCGTTTCGGAGCGATCTTTGGGGCTTCTTGGGCCGTCCTGGAGCGTCGGGAGGCGATCAAGCGAGGACGCTCCCCAAATTCAAAAACTTTTGGAACATCAGTGTGCTTTGCTTATCGGGAAGCCTCCTGGAGGTCGCGTCTTGGGCCTTGGGGGCATTTTCGGCCGTCTGGCGGCCACCTTAGGCGTCTTGGGCCGATCGCTCGACGACTCGGGACTCTCTTCGGACGCCTCTGGGGCCTCTTAGGGTCCTCTCTGCCCGTCTTGGGGCCAAATTGGCGTCCCAAAAGCTCGGGCGACACACCCTGGCAGCGTTCAGGACCGCCCAGGACCGCCCGGGAATCCGGTGGGGGTCGGCCCTCGAGAACCCTCACGAGCAACAAAAAGCCCATTACTTCGCAGAGCTGCATGGGCCTTTGGGGCACGTGCGGCGACTTGGGTGGTGGACGGAAGTGGGGGAGAAGGAAGAGGAGGAGGATAGGCCTCCTACCTTGACACGTCGATTAAGGAATTTGGCCGTTTTCGATTCGCGAGAGGGCGTCGCGGTCGTCATTTTTGCGGGTCCAGGTCCGTCGGTTTCGGTCCCGGGCCGTTTTCACCAAGGGGGGGTTTACGAAAGGGAGGTTTGTCCACCGCCGAAAGGAAGAGGAGGGGGAGGAGAACAGGGAGGCGTTATTGGGGGTTTCCTTGTCATTACCTTTCGCCGCGAACCAAGATGTGGCGACGGTGCCGCCTCACCATGTCCTGGATGCGGCATACTGGAATTGGATGCGGAACAAGATGTGCCCTCGGCGCGCTATCGGCATTCGGCAAAGGACTGGCATAGCTAATCGCCCGCCATAACCTATGTTTCGCATTGTTTACTTTGGCAGTGGTGTCGTAAACCACTGCCACACCACTGCCCCACATAACATACAAAGCGGCGTAAAGGTAGCAGTATGTCCGGGTTCCTAGTGGCATGGATGAGCAGGAGTAAGAGGAGGAGGAGGAGGATAATGAAGGGGGGATGGGGAGAGGATTGGGGCAGGGAGGCTTACGAAGCGCTTGATCCACAAGTCCCCCCCACTTCTCTTCCTCTTTCGAGTGAAGCTGGAGCGAGGCGCCTCCAGAGGAGTGCCGCCTACATTCGCGCACTGTCCCACGCCTTTTCCTTCTTCCCGTTCATGACCCCTTCCACAGACGGGCACGCTTCAAGCCTCTACGGAACGGGAAAAGCAGGAGAAGGGGTGAGTGGGGAGGAGGGCTTTCGACATGAGGCAATGGTTGTGAGGCTGAAGCGGACAAGCAGTCGGAACAGCGGGGTGAGGTAGCACAGTTGGCTGAGGAGGGCGGGCAGCATCCAGCGGGGGACGACGTTGCGCGCTCGTCGTTAGGATGCAGCTCCTGGGAGCTTACATTCAGCACCAACGCTGGTACACTACATTGGTCGAAAACTGGCCTAATCCGGCGTAGTCCCGCTTGATTTTGCTGAATCCCGCTTGATCGGGCTCACTCTTGGGTTGACGTCTGGGCCTGATCCAGCTTGATCCGGCTTATATGGGCCCGGAATCGGGCTCAGGTGTTTTCAAAAGAATCGGAGCAAATCATGAGAGCGTCGTGCGCCAGCGTGTGATGATCGACGAGAGAGCGCTGATTTGGTGTCGGTTGGCGTCGACCGGAGGAGCCGACTTGGCGTCGATTGGCGTCGGTCAGCGTCGAGTAGAGTCGGCCCGCGTTGATCCGCGAGAGGCAGCAGGATGGCATGGGTCGGACGGGGCCACTCATCCTTCTCCTCTTCCTCCTCCGCCTCCTCCTCCGCCTCCTCCTCCTCATCCTCCTCCTCTCTCCTCAATCTCCTTCTCCTCCTCCTCCTCCTCCTTCTCCCCATCCTCTTCCTCATCCTCCTCCTCCTCCGCCGCCGCCGCCCTCCTCCCTTCCTGAGATCCTGACGTGCACGCCGCGTGATTTCGCCTTAGTTCGGGCCCAGGGACCCTCGCAGATCGATCCGGCTCAGAATGGTTGCAGCAGACAGATCGGGTCTAGGGTTGTGTTCCCCACAGGTCCTACAGCCCCCCATACAGCACCTTCACAAAAAAGATCCAGAATTAGGGAAAAATTAGGTTTCGGCCTGGAACTGAAAATTTGGTAAAAATTGCAGGGGCGGCCGCGGCTTGCCCGTAAGTTGCGCACTGTACTTACAGATGGGCGCGCAAAAATTGCAACCCTAGACAAGTTGGGTTTCGGATTTGCCAACTGCGCAAAACGTGCGATTCAATATGTAGTCGGCCTTAGCCGACTCAGGGCACGTTCTAGTTGGGCTAGTGTAGTTGGCACTGGATTTGCAGCGTCCTGGGGCATAGTTCGCGTTGCTGGGGCTTGCCTTAGTCGGCTTCTCCCATGTAGTACATTGGGCTGCTCGCATCGAAGCGAGACTTGTGTTTCGCAATGTAGCGACGGCCTGAACGAGGGCCAGATTTTTCCTGGGGCAGGGGGCGGGGCGGTTGTGTTTTAGCCAGTTTCTTTTGCACACTGTTTTGGCTTCCCTTGATTGACCTCGGCTGCCACGGCTCGCCCAGGGGGAAAAAAACATGGGGGGAGGGGTGGGGTCGCAAACAATCCTACCAAACAGCCTAGATCTCACGTGCCCGAACGCCGCATCACGGCGGAGGACCTTGCTTCGGGTGGTGACCTTTCCATGCCGCGGCTCGTTTGCCCGTCGACACGCGGCTCCAAACTCGTGGCCCCCGCGGTCCGTGGCCCAGTGGCCCCGTGGCTAAATGCAAAGGCGGGAAGGATATTGAACACGAGCGAGCGCGGAGCGCGTGCCAGGTGGGGGGGGATCGGGGAGCAGAGGGAGGGGGGGAGGGACAGCTGTGGGGGATGCCACATTGCTTTGTTTTGCAAGGACGTAAGGCATCATCTTCTGAAATCCGACATCGCTCCCCCCCGTCTACCTGTTTAGTTAATTTCCGTACTCGTGTCCTTGCCATTTCTCTCTCTCTCTCTCTCTTTCTCGCCTCTTTTTCACGTTGCGTGAATATCCTCCTCCTTCGCCTTCCCCCCTTTCTTTCATTATCTCCCACCTCCTGCTGTAATAGCATTGCTGGTCCTCGGTGTCTTTTCCGCGCCCTCCTCCAGACCTGTTGGCGTGTTCCATTCGTTGTCCCATGTTACAGATTCGTTTTATGTAGCTTCCCGCAGATCGGTTGCTCGTGGCTCGTGGCAAGAGGCGCGTGAGCAGGCATGTCCAACTTCCCATCGCCCAGCGTCGCCGCGCCTCGTGCTCTGGCCCAACACCATCATGTGACGGCCCCGCCATGGCGCGCCCACCATGGCGGCCGAGCTCGGCGGAGACGCGTCTCCCGCCGAGCTGCCCTTGGACCCGAGCGTACGAATAACAATGGTTTAACCACGTGTTTCATCATATGTCTGATGTTGAATTCGGCTCAGGCCGAATTCCACATCGGACATGTGATTGGGTTTACGTTTTGCCATATGGTTGCCCCCCACGCCAGGACGGGGACCTGGATGAGGCGTGCGGGGCAGACCCTGGCGGCGGCGCCGAGCAGCGCCTGGAGACGGGGCGACCTGGAGGATGGCGCCTCGGGATGGCGCTGCCCCTCGCGACTGCCACCCAAGTGGCCTGTCGCAGCGTCCCTGCCCCGTCGCCTCC